TCCATCTCAGAGTCTATTTTTCATGTTCCGTTGGGGAAGGTCGTCATTTGTTGGTTTTTCGTGATGTCAAATCCAGGTGAAGCGAGGTTGGCTGATCAGGCCTGACCATGGCCCTGACTTCTCAACTGGAACTATTCTATGAGTAAACTGATGGTAGTTGCTGGATAGACACCTCCTTCAGAACATCATCTATCTACCATTGTTATCTACTGTACCCATTTACTGTCCATCTACATTTTCTATAGACTAAAGACGCGACATCATGTCATCAGACACGCCGCAGGCCCTTCCAGCTTCACTGCTAGAAGATCGACTGCAAGATGAGGCAGCGGTGGTCGTTCGATTCAGAAGCTTTGGTACACCTTCATGCAGATTTTGCTGCCGCTTGTTGCTCTTTTCTTGCCCTTGGTCAGATGATTACATGTCTACTCTACTTGGGATGGCATAGATGGTTGAGTTGTTCCGGACCTCACAACACGACTTCACATTTGGCATGATAATTGTTTTTTTGGGAATATCCCCAAAGATTCTGATTTCAAGTTGGTGAACCAGTTCAGTTTATCCATATAAAAAACAACGGTTCAATGGTTGATACTCTTGTTATTACCATCTGGTTATTTAACATAGCCATGGAAAATCACAATTTTCAATAGGTAAACCATCTATAAATGGGCCATTTCCCATGGCTATGTTAAATAGCCAGATGGTAATGATGGTTAATGGTGAAATCATGCCAAAACCTGGCTATTCCCCAGCGACGATGGGTTCAACCCATGGTTCCCAACCCCCAGTTCTGCGCGCGGCAAGGTGCGCTTCTCCATGACCCGACCAGCTGGTCCGGAGGGTGCCCTCCTGCTGTGGCTGGCCACCGGAAAGAGTCGAGACTCGGAAGCGGCGTTTCTGGATGGGTTCCCCTTGGATAGTGGGAATATTTGAGGGTTTCCATAAATTGGGATCACCCAAAATGGATGGTTTATGATGGAAAATCCTATTGACATGGATGATTTGGGGGTATGTACCCCTTTTTTAGGAAAACACCATTTACTCAATTTTACTCACCGTCGAAACAAAGACAGGTATCGAAAAATCGAAGATTGGCCATGAGGTAAGGCAGGTTGGTCTGGTTGTTTTACTTCTTACACTAAAATGGGGACAGAACGGGGGAATATATGGGCTGAGGGTTGATTCCTCCGTCACAATTGTTCGAAACTGTAAATATTCTTTTCCTCGATCGCCACGGTCCCACTTGATTGGCTTCCAATCCTTTTCGGGCGATGGTTCAGTGCTGCCAGTCCCCCATCGAGGAAGCAAGGCACTGAAGCTTCAAATCGTGGCCAAGGTGGGGGGAGCGCCTTTCCACGGTGGATTGCTCCCTCAAAAACCGGTGGATTGTAGCACCGCCTGGGCGCCTGATGGTAGCTACTGAAAATGGGCGAAGAACATGAAGAACCCACATTATTTTCGAGTTTATATAACGGTGAACATGATGATCAAACCAGGGCATTCTTGGGTACATCATTTTCAGACAAACCCATGTGTTTCCTGTGGGTAGAATAGATGCAGCATTCGTGGGGCCAAGACAATTTCAATTGAGTTTGATCTTGAATTCAACCCTACCGGTACATGAAACCAGTCAGCTGTTTCTTTCCTTGGTAGATATTTGAACATGATTCATAGTTTCTTTGAATGGGATGGCATCCACCTCTCATAGGATATTGCAAAGATTCACACTAGTTCCATTTACGGAAATCGCAGTACATGTATATATATATATATTCATATTATGTATGTATATAATATATAGCATATATATATATATAATATTATATTGACCCATCCTATCGGTTGAATCGACTTTCAGCTTGAGATATAGCAAGCCCAACAAGATAGACAAGTAACATCCTGCTTAAATAGTGATCAATCACTTTTCTCATCTTTTTCTAACATTTTTTTTGAAGGAATACTATACATATATATATATAGATATATTATATATAATTAATTATATATATACACGTATAATAATTATACATTGTATAATTTATTGAACTGAATCTATTGAACTGACATTTTTGCTGATGTGTGGCTTTGTTTTAGGGTCCCAACTTGAACCTCTTCAGCGTGGAAGGCTATGGTGGTGAGGGACAGCACTGGGCTCTGCACTTCGAAACAGCTGCCGCAAGACATGGATCCTGGGCCCAGATTGGAGGGGTCTAATATTAAAATTTGTATTAACTCATTATATAGTTAATGTATAGTTAATAGATTATTAATAGATAATACTATTAATGGATCTATTAATGGATTTATAATATTAATATATAATGGATTATTAACTATATACAAATAGCAAATGGCTATTTTTAATCAATTATAAACCCTAATAAACTCAAAATGGGGGATGAAGAAACAAACATGGTGATTATTGACAAATTACTAACTCTATAGAAACTGTGAAATAATGGGTTTCAGGACACAAATAAAAACAAACTGATGGGGAGTTTTAAGCAACAGAACATGCATTTAACCTTTAACAATGGTGGTTCAAGCCAGAAAGATGCTCTTTTCAGCAAACCAAATTGGAGATGGCTCAGGATTGATGATTTGAGCATTCGGAGTCAATCAGTGGGGACATGGGAGGTCTATTTTGGAAGCCACTGAGTCAAACCTGATCTTTGGAGGCGAAATGTCGTTCAAGCTGCTGAGGAAAGCCTTTTGCCTTGCGAGTTCTGTGGAAGGACAAGACACGACTTGTTGTGGCACGGCGGGGAAGCTGTGACCGAATTACCCACTGTGATAGTTAGGAACTGATATTGCAGCCTGTTGGACATATCCTGTTACTCGAATTATTTTTCAATTTCGGACGTTTGGCGAAATTGCAATGGACTGGAATATGGAATGTAACCGCCAAACCTCATTAAACAGGCGTCCTTATTAAACACGATTGAATGTTGAAATCAACAAGATTGAATTTTCTGAATGTTGAATATGTTTCACAACTTTCTCATTTTTGGAAGTCAACCTCTTCAAATCGCGGCGATTTTGACGAAGACTCATGAGTTGATTGCGACCGACCTTCCATGGAAATCGTCATGTCTCCATGGGTTGCTCCTCATCCTCAAGTTACATATTTGCAATATACCCTCTGCTTATGACTAACATAGCCATGGTACAGATGGCCCATAGAAATAGTTGATTTACCTATTAAAAATGGTGAGCAATTTTTTTTTGAGCCATGTTGAATTCCTTCTCTCATTCCTTGGTACTGGTCAAGAACGGGATTTCCAGTTCATGGACGATCATCATCACCAATATGATATAGATTGGATGGTACAACCGGATGACCTCCGACAATCACCCACCATTTCTCAAGACTATCAATAATCATTTTGATGGTTAAGGTCCCATGATGATTTCACCACCCAAAAAAAAGGTCAACCAGTAGGAGTTTTGACGATTTTTGAACATGATTTCATGGATTCTAATGGTAAACACATGGCAAAAACCATGGCTTTCCCTCAGATTTTCCAACGTCCGTGACGCAGGAGGGGCCACTCAGGCCGTACCTGTGGGCAGCAAATGCGTCGGAAGCATCGGCGCTGGCGACACCAGTTGGTGCGCTGATTCATGGTGGGGCAATCACGGACCCCGCAATGGTCATTTAGTTCGTGAATTTAAAAGCTACATATCATATGCTTTTGTGGTCAATCACGATTTGTTTTTGACGCTGCCACTTAGATTCTTAGATTGGTCATATTTGGTATAGCTTAAAATCATAAGGACCTCGCCGATTGAACATGATAGGTGGACTATCGCCAAGAAATATCGAGAATTTGCATTTCCACTCGCAGCTATAGTTGTGGTTTCACGTGTTGTTTCAAACATTCATCACCCATGAACTTATTAGTGTTTGAGTAGATGATAATTTGAATTTGAATTATTTTATCTTTAGTTGCTAACCTTCAGTATTATTATAGTCATAGTTCTTAATCAATTTACAAAACAGTTTTTTTTTCTAATCATCACCTTGATTATTTTTAATTCCACTCATCACTAGTGGTGATTCTAATCATCATCCGTATGATTTTTTTCCACTTGAGCAGTGTTCAACAGCAGAATCACAGGCGCCATGGAGGCTCTTCGAGATTTCGCTGTGCCTTGGATCGGATCTGCAGATCCAGGATGTCTAATGGATGCCCGGTGGACAAAGATGAAAAAAGAGCCCATGGAAGTCTCAAGATGTATCAAGATGTATCAAGATGTATCAAGTAGGTTGAATATCTAGAAATGGTGCATTTTCCAGGGCTCTCTCCCTCTCTCTACCGTTTGTTTGAAGGGGTGCCTCATGTTCACGCTGAATCCGGGCTGTCCCCACCATGTGGTGCCCACAGTTAGCTAAGTTGGTTTCTAAATAGGTTGACTATGGTTACCTCGGATTTATGGTGTCTTTCGAAGTAGTTCCAATGGGGTTAGCCAACATCGCTGGGGGCTACCCTGCAACACCTTGGCGAGGCCCTTGCAGCACGAGGTGCAAGGACTGTGTCACTTGAAGCGCAATGAGAGGTAGACGCCACAATGTGGTTCTTCATGGATCCCCCCCAAAAAAGCCTCCAGATGATGGATTTGCGATATGAATGATGAATTTGGTGTTTTTTTTTTGCAAGATGAAGTGGCAATATGAATGGTGAAACAAAAAACCAAACCAGATATCCACAAGACACGTATGACTTCGTAGGACCACCACCTACACAGTCCCCGAACCCTTTTCTTACCCCCTGGCCGCGAGGTGCTTGAAAACCCACAATGATCAACCATGAATCAAAGGTTGGAGTTCATTTAGCAGGTTTTACCACATTACATAACGTTAACATATACAATCATTAATTAATTACAATAACCGTTTCCTAGAAACCTCATGAAGTTCACCATCAACTAATAAACCATCATGGATGGATCATATCTACCCCATTCTTGGTGCTTCAACTTTTGTTGATGCCGCGACATCCCACAACGCATCAACCGCTCATCATTTTAGGGGTTTTCACTTGGCTTATATACCATTGCTTCCCATTGTGACTTTCAACCAATCATTTAAAAAAATATATAACTACATAATATAATATTCCTTTTTTTGGTTTGATCTTTGATTTCGATGATTTATAGCATTATAGGGTTATTTCCCAAATCATCCTCTTATGATAGTATCTGAATATATACACATGGAATTATATACCATGAAGCACCAATGAATTTCACCATGAACCACCAACTGCCTATCTGACTTGTCACGTCGCGTCGTGACGTTTGTTTTAGGTGCGGTCCTGGTGTCCAGCTCGGATCAAGCAGCGCTGGGCCTGCTGCGAGCTTCCGCTGCGCCAGCGTCCGCAGCGGCGAAAGCGGCACAGGGCAGCATGCGCCTTGGGCGCCTGAGGGATTTTTGTTGGGGGAATCCCCTTCCAAATGGGGGATTACTGTAACCATCAAAAAAATGGGGGAATTGAATAGAGCCAGGCCTAAATATAGCTGGGGGTACCCGACAGCCCAGCTATGTTTGGGGAGGAATCTGGTCATGACTCACCTATAATTGGGTTGGAGCAACCGTGGAACACTGCTCTAGTGATAAGTGATAAGTGATAATGAAAAAAGATGCAGAACATTGAAATCAACTCCAATAGAGGTAATTTGATCAATTACTTTGCTGCATCTTTTTTGGGAGTTACTATAATGTCAGCAAATTGTACAATGGTGTTTGTCGTTGGTGTTTGTCGTTGGCACTTATTGTAGTTACAACATGTTAAAGGTGAGAGCCTCTGTGACATCCTTGTTGTGAGTGTTCTCTTAGGTGTACTGTAAGCCAGCTATTCTTTTTGGGGTACCATATTTTTCACCAATACATACCCATACTCAACTAGTTTGATGTGGTAAAGGCAACAATAAATCATTCCAATTTTTTACCGTTTGGGTATATTTGGGTAGTTTTTTTTAATCTTCAACATTTGGTGTTTACCATTGGGTCCAGACCACATCGTTCTGAAATCCGATTGACAAGTCGTCATCCCTTCCCAGCGGGCAAATCTTCAGGACACCATGCTGGTAAAAAAAACATGGTAAAACCATGGTTTTCCTATAGATTTGTCCTTTTTGTGAACCACTCGACATTGCACGTTGGAAAAAAATAGAAACCACCAGCATTGGCAGGTTTGAAGCCTGGCCTTTGGAGCATCCATGGTCCTTTGTCGATGATGAGGACGTTCCCCCGGAGGGTGGGACTTCCACCATGGCCGGCAATATCCCATTGGTATGGATTGTATCTTCAACCAGGGGATATATCATATATCGAGGTTTCCAAAGTCATGGGGGTACTCCCAAATCTTATTAGATCATATTAGACCCTGACATCGTATTGAAACAACTGTGATGACTTGGGGATCCCACATTTTAAGAGATCCCCCATATCAATATAGGATTTCACGTATAGCAGGGTATATACTGTAGATTGTATCGATTTTTGATGATTTTTGAAGGATGAAATCGACCAATGCCGGTAGTTGAAGAGTGCAGTCTCTCACTTCAGGACTTTGGCCACAGGATTGAACGAAGCCAAAGTCTTCAGCTGTCCTTTTCGACAATTTTTCTGAATCGCAGCTTCAAATAACTATGGAATTACATTTACTGACATTTTTTGTCAGTTTTTTGGATATGGCCGTGTATTTTCAGTATATTTGCATACATGTGTTGTTATAACTTATAACATTATTTATCATGTGCTTGAATATGGCACAATATTAAACTCTTTGTCACATTATATATAGATGATATGTGTATGTAGGATTGTATATATATAACATGTATATGTACAGATCGAGGATAGTTACCGATTGATACCATCATTGCAGTCCTGAATTGACTCACGTCGTTGCAGGACCTAGCCCGTGCCATAGCATTGTCGCTGCCAACAGAAGAGGCCACCTGAAAAACACGGTCACCATACATAAAATGGTTAGCCAGGTATGTGATTCCCAAAATGTATGAGATTTACCATCTGGTTATGACTAACATAGCCGTGAACAATCACCATTTTTAATAGGTAAACCTCTATAAATGGGCCATTTCCCATGGCTATGTTAAATAACCAGAGGGTAATGGGAATCTGGGGTGTACTTATGGGAATCATTCATTGACAGGCTAAAGTAAGTTCTTACTTCAGGTTTGAAATGTTGTAACTTGTCCAGAACCGGTTTTCTGGAGTTGGGAGCCACGCATCCGCCAGGGCTGCCTCAACTTGGGCTTAACCTGCAGCGATCAGACGAGGGTATTTCGGATGCAAATCATGTTCGGTTACCAATGATAGAGAATTATGATATAAACTGGTTGGTGGTTTGGAACATTTTTAATTTTTCCATAATATATGGGAGAATCCTTCCCATTGACTGATATTTTTCAGAGGGGTTGAAACCACCAACCAGTAAAGGCAAACATCAATAACCAACAGGGGTGAAGTCACTTGTTTTGTTGGATGCGAAGAGGTGGATGAACGTACTGGAACACACAAGGAAACCAATGGTTGGGAACCCCATTTTTTGGGTACTCCATGGTTCTGGGTGAAACTTATTCCATGGATCGTTTTATATACATTATAAATATGCGCAAGTTTTACCCTTTGTTGTTCGTCCAATCACCAAGTGTTGTTATATTCCCTTGTCACTTGTTGTTTGTATACAAGCTAGTGTTGCATCAACGCAGTTGTCAGTTGTATCGTTGATTATATCTACATTCGTGTTCTTCTTCTTGTGGTTGTCTACACATCCTATTTTTATGACACATACCCACAGCAAGATGACCATGTTCAGTAAGCCCATCATCTATCAACATGTCTAGACTGGGCATTGTCTGCTGACATTCATATCATCCTTGATTGCTTCCCATCCCCCAAAGATTTGGCCCAAGAAACCATGGGGCTCTTTAATAGTAACGGGGCATGGGATCCAAAACAAAACAACGCCAACATTCCATCGGCGCGATGAGGATGAGGAAGCACAGTTGCAAGCAGCACTTCTGGCTTCGCTGGTGGTTTCGACTAGCGCTACCAGTGAGGTGTGGCGGGTACGAAATGGTGACAGCCACGAAGAGAATACCGCTGAGGATTGGTTGATATATTTCAATAAATTTCCGATAATGAGTTCCATATCCCAATTATTATGACCATGATTGGGAATATGGAATTATAGTTCAACAGTTCCCAATAATGATTGGATATATTCACATATATATATATATATATTCAATAATGGCCATATATTGGAATTTCCAGCTCTGGGATGGTTTCGGTGACCGCTGAAGCGCTGAATTCATGGATTGTTTTAGGGTCCAGGAGCCTTCAAGAATGAGGATGTATAGCGAGATAATCCTGAGATACTTGGGAGTACTCTGCCAGAATTGGTTGAAGGGAACAATCACAGGAACCTCCGATATTTGATAGAAAAAAGACATGAACAACACATGAACACATGGCTTTCTGAACAAAGAAAGCTTCAGCCACATTGATATTGGATGATATTGGCTAATCAAGTCCCTTGAGCAACTGGGAGGACACACACACACAAGACTTAGACTAGATTTGGGCGAACTTCGGATGACTCTGGGCAAGTGGAAGGGGTTTGACGGTTTGATGATGTTTGATGTCTATAAACCACTCTAGCCTCTAGCGAAGAATTCCCTGTTTAGATAACACACGTGCTGCACGCCATTGATTTTTGCCGTGACACAGAAAATATATGTGAATTTTCCCTTGGGCATGGTCATGTTTGGGTTCCTTCTTGAATTTGACCATTGTAGATGCTCCTGCTCCTGGCTTGTACATTTGCTCTGCAATGGCTCAACCACCAATCAGATCTGGAAGGAATGGTCATATTATATATTCATGTTTTTTAGTTTTCCCCTGGTACGTACGGTACCTTGTTCATCAATGTTCATCACGCTTTTGCATCGGAGCATAATTCTTCCTATATGCGCAATTGGTACTCGAGATGCCCCCCAGTGATTCTGGTGAAAGACCCGCAAGGCTCTGGCCATGATAGAAATAGCTATGATGACTATGAAACGATTTATTTAGCATGATTGATATGAACATGATTTGTTTATATGGTGAATATGAAATGTGTGAATCCACCCCATGCCATCCCCAAATCTGAAGTTTGCAATGGTTTACATGTTCACATCATATGCCAACTATGAAATTTGGTATGATGATTTACTTACCTGTTAAAAGTGGTGATGTCCCATAGCTACCTTGAACAACCAGAGGGACCATTTTAGCCCTAAATCCATTGGTTAATCATCAGACAAAGCCCAGATTTAACCAATGGCTACTTGGTTAACCATTGGTTGTTGAAATATGGGTTAATCATGGTTAATCATCATGAAAATAGGCTACCTCACTATCCATATTTCAACAACCCCAGAATACCCCAGATTTAGATAGATTTAGATTCATTCTCCATGATCTATTTGGAGAAACCAGAGATTCTCTGGGCCGCCCTTGAAAACACCTCAACAGCCAAAAGGGCCCTGGAAGCGATGCCATTGAGGCAGGTCATTTTCGATCAAATTAAATGCATCAAGTGTATTCAAGTGTCATCAATTTATACATCAACCTGAAGTAGCCGCAGTAGCCTTTGAATCTTCGAATCTTGGGAATCTTGGTTTGCACCTCTAATAGGTCTATATAAGTGCATATGTGAGAATTGTGTCAGAAATCGGGATGAGTGTACGGTGTACGGTGGATGAATATGGATGAATATATTGGGAGTATCATAATCCACCATACTTGTAGGTATCCCATGAACTCTCCAAGTGGGTTTTGACATTCATGCAAAGGGAGCATTTTACTCCAACAGCTTCTTATCTACAAAACCTTTCGAGGAGCTTTGGTACTGACAGGATGGGAATCGCTTTGCTGAGATCACAGGGGTTTTGCATGCCGTGTTGAGATGCCATGTAGCAGGAAGGGAGGTCAATGGACTAGCCAAAGGCATTGATTGCATGTCTTGCTGCCGAATCTGGACTGGTTCGATCCACGCGTTTGTTGGAAAGCCAGGAAGGCTTGGTTCAGACGCAGATCTCGAAACAGCCTAGCCCTGGGCCACGCAGCTGTTGGCAGATCCGTGGGGTCACACCACCTTGGCCAGGAGCCGAAGGAAAAGAAACGAGAGAAGAAGAAGAAGAAGGAGCACCGGGGACAGCATTGCTTGTGAAGCTAACTGCTTCTGCTTCCCCATCTGTTTTACACAAGGCTGGCCGCGGAATCGCTATCACAAGTAGTCGGTTTGAAGGTTGAGTAGGCTGCGCTGCTTTGTGCTCGTGCGTGTTTCTGATCTGCATCGTAGCTTTTTCGCCTGTGCCGTTTTCACAGTCT